TTTTCTGTATTTTTCTGCCATAATTCAGAAAGTGGTGTCATACTGTCATCCTTGATTTAAAACACATGAGTAAAAACGCATGACCATTTTGTCTTCACAGAAGAGATGCCTATCAAATCTCTTCCTCACTCAAACACAGTTGTGTGCCCCCTAAACGGGCCACTCGGTAGATGTGGGCCATATGGGACTCCCACATGCGTTATCGGGTTTGCGCACCATAACAAATGCCAACATGTCTGGACGCGGTGGCAGACTCGGCTGCCGGCAGACGTTGCGCACATTGGGACCCCTGACGCCCTCCCCCCCCTGTAGTTGTTGTCTGTCAAAAACCTGGTCATTTGCTGTGTGGACCAGGGGGTGTGGAGTGGAGCGCCGAGGTGTGGGCTCGGTCGTACCATCCACCTGCGCCCTCCCCCGCCCCCGGTCTTCTTGGTTCTGTCTTGACATTGGGCCCAGGCGAGGGGGGAGAGGGAAGGAGTGTGGTGGATGCTGCGCAAGTCTACATCCGCCATAAACTAAATCAAGCGTAAGTCACAGTGTCTGCTTTACCTTGCTGTAGAGCGCACAGAGGACAAAGTCGGCAACGACGGCCGAACTATACATAGTAGACAGCCCTCATTGAAGCCGAGTGTTTCTATAAGAGCCCGAAAGGACTATTCGTTCATCATGACGGCGGACATAATCGCATCGGAAGGGCAATTTGCTTCACTGCCTCTCCCACCGTGATTATGGAAAAAACATTTTCCTTACCAATAGCCTCCGGAAATCTTGGAGGCCGTCTATGAATCATGTCTGTCTTTCCATGTAATCTCTACACTAACTGTTTCTTCGTCTTGCACGTCAAACCCTTGAAATTCGATGAGAAGCTGGTGATCCCCCATTCAAGACTCCTCGCTGAAGGTTCAGCCAAAATACGCCTGTACTAACTGGGACGATTGCAGGGCGATTAAACCCGGCGCCATGGCAACAGGTCTCACACGTCGGGGAAGCAAAACGATGTATATCTCCCCAGTATAGCCGGGTCTGCTGGGCGCATGGAAATAGTGCAGCGCATTTTTA